GGTGTCAGCATGCACAAGACCCATGCAAACTCAAGCAGACAAAAACCCAACACAGAACTGTGGAAATGAACAGCAGGTCCCAACCTTAGTTGAAGAATTATTGGCAGCTGATTACTGCTGGGTGAGGAAGAACTGATCTTAAAGGGAAGGACTCTAGATAGGCTGACTAGATCCCAGTGGATGAACTTGCACTGTGGGACATCTGGGAATACTTACTTTACATGATAGGCCTTAGCACAAATGACAGAATGTATGAACTCCGGTGGGGGCTATGGGGGGTGCCAAAGGGGAAAAGATATAAAGATGATTTTCTGTATGAAATATACAAAAATTTAATAAAAAATGTTTTTAAAAATTGAGAAACTAAGCCGGGCGTGGTGGTGCACACCTGTAATCCCAACACTTGGGAGGCAGAGGCAGGCGGATCTCTGTGAGTTCAAGGCCAGCCTGGTCTACATAGTGAGTTCCAGGCCAGTTGTGCTACAGGGAGACCCTGTCTCAAAAAGACCAAAAAAAAAAAAAATTGAGAAACTACAATGGGTTCTGAGAGGGTAAAAAAACAATAATAATTGATAAATGGTATCTTTCATAGCACTTCAAAAAATGCATAGCGGCTGGGCGTGGTGGTACACACCTGTAATCCCAGAGTTTGGGAGGCAGAGGCAGGCAGATCTCTGTGAGTACAAGGCCAGCCTGGTCTACATAGTGAGTTCCAGGCCAGTTGGGCTACAGGGAGACTCTGTCTCAAAAAGACCAGAAAAAAAAAAAAAGCATAGCTATGAGGGCAGAGACAACTCATGGGTAAAAGTATTTTCTGTGCAAGTCTGACAATGTGAGTTTGATCCCTGGACTCTAGGGCAGAAGGAACAAACCAACTATGAAAGCTGTCCTCTGACCCCCACAAAATTGGCATGGTATGTATATACCCACAATCACACACATACAATAATAATAATTAAATTTAAAAATTTATATATTGATTGATTAATTAAGACAGGGTCTCACTATGAGCCTTGACTGGTCTAGAATTCGCTTTGTAGACCAGGTTAACTTTGAACTTACAGAAATCTGCCTTCCTCTGCCTTCTGAGTGCTGAGTTATTAAAGGTGTGCATCACTACACTTGGCCAAAATTAAGTTTTGAGAATTCATAGATAACCCTTATATAAACAGCTAATAAGCGCCCTGCCTCATTTAATGCCTCAGAACAAGACTGCTGTATTGTCATGACCCTAAAAAGGGTAACTCAGGCAAATGACTGGAAATTTGGCAATATGCTGACTCCTAGCATATCATGAATGCCTTTGGCACATTGAGTTTCATGATGTTTCTTCTCTGACCCTGGCCAAATTGCATAAAATCTTAGCTTCCCGGTTTCCTTACGGTGGCACGTACTGTGTGTTTTGTTTCTGTTCCTAGTTAGCATTCTATGGCTGTGATAAAACACCATGACCAAACGACTTGGGGAGGGAACCATTTATTTCAGCTTACAACTCCAAGGTCACAATCCATCACTAAGGGAAGTCAGTGCAGGAAACTAGAGATGGAACCGAAGCAGAGCCCATGGCAGATTGCTGCTTACTGTCTTGCTCCTCTGGCCTATGCTCAGCCTGTTTCTTTTAGGTTTTGTTTTTTTTGAGATAGGGTCTCCCTGTAGCTCCAGCTGGCCTGGGCCTCAATAAGTAGACCAGGTTGGCCCCGATCTCACAAAATATCTGCCTACCTCTGCCTCCCAAGTGCTGGGATTAAAGGCATGCAATACCATGCCAGGCTAAATATTTTTCTATTTTTATTTTGTTTGAAACATGTCATTATGTATCCCTGGTTGTTCTTGAACTCACTATGTAGACCAGGTTGGCCTGGAACTTGCAAAGATCCACCTGCCTCTGCCTTCTGAGTGCTGGCATTAAAGGTTGTGTCACCATGACTGGCCCCTCAATCTGCTTTCTTATATAACCCAGGACCACCTGTCCAGGGGTGGCATCACCTACTTTGGGCTGGGCCCTCCCATATCACTCAACAATCAAGAAACTGCCTCATAGGCACAGTTATGGGCCAATCCGATAGAGTGAATTCCACAACTGAGGGTCCCTCTTCCCAGGTGTGTCAAGTTGACAACCAACGCTAACCAGGACCACAACCGTGACTCTGACACCTCCTTCTCCCCTTCTCCCTTTTCCTCTCCCTCCCCCCCTCATCCTCTTCCCCCCTCATCCTCTTCCCCCCT